AAAAAAAAAAAAAAAAAAAAAAAAAAAAAAAAAAAAAAAAAAAATGTCAGTTAGTGAGTGACGTTGTCAACAACGCTATATGATACATTATATACACACATAGCCGCGTGGAAAGGAAAAATAAATAAAACGTGCGGATAGATTGGCCTCCCAACCGCAAAGACAGAGAGACGATCCACACCGGGAAAAGAAAGCAAAGACAAAAATGCCAATAAACCGAAAAAGCTCCGTGTCCCTCGATCGGACTTGTGGCATATATGTATACATAATGTGTATCTCCCGGCCACTCGCGTATCTATATACGTACACACACACATGAGGGGGTTGGGGGGGGGAGAGGGTGGTAAACGCGACACATGTGATTTTCCCGCTTATCGATTTTCAGCAGGCAAGCTCTACTCTCTCCGACAATAGCTGCGATGCTGCGCGTGTACCCTAACATCATAGGCCAGCCTATACATAATTATACCGCGTATACGATATTCACGCGCATTGTGTCGTACTTTTATACCAATGAAGCGGAACTTTTACCAATTCGTGTGTTTTTTTGTACGATACCTGTACTATGTACTGTAGAGGTGTTTCGTATATAAATGATGTACACGCGTGTGATGAATGTGTCATCATATAGCCATCGGCTCGCAGGGGTTATCTCGCGGCACGATGCATCAAGCTCCGTAAGTATACAGGTGGCTGTGTACATGTATACCTACATCTCCGGAAATTTAATGGAATTTCCGGAAAAGTGACTTCATTGTACCGGCACACGGTGTATACATATAGCCTCTGCGCGCAATTTGCCACAACCAGCCGGGGAGAATAATCCACAGCCGGTCTTTCTCTCTGCCTTGGTTTTATTACTTTTTATTCGGATCTTTTTTTTTTTTTTTTTTTTTTTTCGTATACCAACGCGGCTATTGTGCGGACTTGTCCGTTATCCGAGTGATTTATGCGGAGCTGCGTGAGCGTGAAGAGTTGATATTTCACGTCTCGGGGGCAAAATGAACAACCATAGGATCGGACGATGGTTGTTTTGAAAATTCAGTGTTACGTTTGCTAGCGGTGCGTATATACATAAGTATATATGCGGGGAATAAAAGAAAAAGGGAGAAAAAAAAAAGGGGCCGAGATGAGGTCCATTGAATCCACGAGCGAAGGAAATTCCTTGATGTTTCTTTTATACATCAAAGAGCCCCGTGAATCCGCGAAATTTCCACCCAAACGCCCCCATGTACCATCATATTTTCGGGAATAAAAAATATTGTACATCCCACATATACCTAATATGGATATACATATATGCATGTGTGCCGGGTGCAATCGATTCTCCGGCCTCGAGGAATCGTCGCTTTTATTACCCTCGTCTCCCCCGCGAAATCAATCTCTCGATCGCTCCACCTTATATAAGCGTGTAGGTGTATATGCATATAAATCGGTAACGTATACATATTTATATACCTGTGAGTACGTCACGATATTAGGGAAAGGGGCAAACAGAGAGAGAGAGAGAGAGAGAGAGATCAAATAAAACGAAAAGGGAGAATGGAAAAAAAAACAGCCTTGGGGCACGATAAATCAAACGAAATTTTCCAAACCCCCTGCCTTCCTTCGCCTAGTATATCCGTTTTCCGACTCTACTCTGCGTCAATTTGCATCTGCTGCTTATACATGCCTGATGATGGTAATTAATTAATTTGATTTCCTCCTTTGCGAGGTATGAAGCAAAAACAAGAAAAAAAAAAAAAAAANAATATAACAAATTTCTATAACAACTTTATAGAACCAATACTTTGCCGATGTTTTTCTGATGGTTTCATTTTATAAATTATTTAGCTTTTGAAAAAATTCGAAAACCCTGTAATCCTAAATTGAAAGACTATATTTTAAGAGCGTTTCTAATATATTTTTTTCTTGATTTCGTATTAAACGTTACGGTAAAAAATAAAACGCTATTGCCTATTTTTGCATCCAACCAGCAGATGGCAAACTCATGCATCTACACTACGTGATTAACAATTATAAACCAGCGTTAAAATAAGCTGAAAAAAAAAAACAAATTAAACAAATAAATGCTTGACTAAAAGTAAATCACTGTTGTGAGCATTTCATTATTTTCACGAATACCGATTGTTACAACGATGAATAGTTTCACATTCTCCTCACACAACAGCATACATCAATAAATTGTCCCGCGCAAATACGTAAAAGTTTCACTCACACTTTCCTAATACTGTATCTTACCATATTATAATCACGACATTGAATTTGTAACGGGATGTATCACGTTCGTATAGAATGTTTCGTCACTTCGTTAAATATATCTACTCTCTTGTTACCCAAAACACCCCCTATATAAACCTACACCTGCAAGCAACGATTCTAAAAATATCTTTTCCAAATACGTTTTCTCTTGGCTTCTTTTTATTTCGATATTATACCAGATGCTCAAGAAGGAAAAGCCCAAACTCCTGCACTCTGGTTGCATCCCAGTAGAAGATACCCTAGCCCCTGACACCCCATGATCGTCATCCCGCTCAGAGCAGCGTCTCCTCGGACGATTGCTCGGAGCGCCGGGAGCGCGGGAAGCCGGCGAGGGCGTGGTAACGTATAGCGGGCATGGTGGCCGAGCGCCTGGGGCTGCGGAAGGAGCCGGGCCAGCTCGCGCGGCTGCAGCAGTCCGACGACGCCGGGGAGCGTCAGCCCCCGCTGCCCGAGTCTCAGCAGGAGCACTCCTCCCTGAGCCGGCCCGAGCTGCCGGGGCTGTCGGTGCCGCTACCGGCCACCGCCGGACCGAAGCCGATTTTCTCGTAGGGGAGCACGCGACCGCGCAGGGCGCTCGGGTCCAGGCTAAGGGCGGCCTTGAGCGTGCTCCTACTGCGGATGACGCCGTTGACGGGCTCCTCCTCGACGTTGCCGTTGCACGAGCCCGGCGAACGGGTTTTCGCGTCCCTAACCTCCGCCCTCTCGCCGTGGTTGCCGTTTTGCCCGACCTCGGTTGTAAGGCCCGACGACGACGTTGGCTCGATCACGTTGGCGTTGGGTTCGCTTTGCTCCGGCTGGACAAACCATAAAAAATAAACAATACCAAGGGGGGGGGAGGAGGAGGAGGAGAAAAAAAAAACAAAGAAGACGTACTGATCTATTGTCGCAGAGCTCGGGCTTGGCGTCCGGGTCGAGGGTGTAGTTGTTGTGCTGGGGGTCTAGGCACGAGTTCTTGTAGTCGGGCGACGAGCTCATCTTGCAATCGTTGCAGTTGACGTTGTCCTCCTCGTGCTCGAGCTTAAGAGCCGCGTAGACGATACCTTGGGGCGGTTGTTGTTGCTGCTGTTGCTCGTTGTTGGCTCGAGTCTCGGCCTTGGCCCGGTAAAAGACGCGTGGCTGCATGTAGCCGTGCTTGTCCAACTGCGAGCATGCGCGCAATTTTTGATGCCTCCCAAATCTACGTGTGTGAGTATACATATATAAGGTACAGTGTAAACTCACCCCGGCTTGGATGTCGATGCAGTCGGTGTCGGAGGAGAGCCCGGGTATGGAGATCTCCCGATCGACGAGCGGCATTATGTCGAAGCTGGGCATGGGGCTGTTCATGACGTCGGGGTCCTGCATGCACAGCTCGATTCTGCGCACGATTTCCTCGAACTTGGGCCTGTCGGCGGCCATGGGATGCCAGCAGCTCAGCATCAGGCCGTAGATCGGGTCCGGGCAGCCGGCCGGCTTCGCCAGGCGCCCCCCGTGGGCCACCAGTGTAACTACCTCCCGGTTCGAGCAGCCAGTGTAGGGCATGTAGCCGAACGACATGATCTCCCAGAGCAGTACTCCAAACGCCCTGCAGCGTTACATTACATTGTCAACTTAAAACTTGCTTCTACAATGTGTAGGCATTTTAGGGTGAAATTCAAGTTACAACGCACCAGACATCGGTCTTTGAGGTGAACATGCCGTCGATGAAGCTCTCGGGTGGCATCCACTTGATGGGCAGCATGGCGTTGCCGCCCTTCTTGTAGTACTCGCTGCGGTATATGTCCCGGGCCATGCCAAAGTCAGCAACCTTGACCACGCGCCCCGGATGGCTCTTGCAGGTAAGGAGACAGTTGCGCGCCGCTATGTCGCGGTGGATGAACCGATGGTCCTCCATGTATTTGCAGCCCTGGGCCACGTCGAGAGCCATCGACAGCAGGTCCTTCATCGTCAGCGACGTCGGTAGATCCTGTAAAAACAGAGTCGTGCAGTTATTACGCAATAAGTGTAATAATAATAATTATTTTAAAATACGAAAGGTATAGGTGTCTACTGTACCGATCGGGGGCGCTCCTCGCGGAGAAAGTTTTTGAGATCGCCGCCCGAGAGGAGCTCGAGGATGATGAAACGCGGGTGCTCGCTGAAGGAGACCCCGATGAACTCGACGATGTTGGCGTGCTTGAATTTGCTCATTATGAGGGCCTCCATGATGAAATCTGCCTCGGCTTGCTGGGTCGACGAGACTGGCAATGTCTTCACCGCCACCTCCATGTCGCCCTTGAGCGGGTCGCGTCTGATGCCCTGGTAAACCTCGCCAAACGCCCCTTGACCCAGGGATCTGAAATACACATGGGTTTTTTTTTGTTTTGTTTTTTTTTATCTAGATGGCAAAAGGCTGTACATGCATACAAGCTTATACCGACTTGATAAGTTTGATTTGTTCGCGTGGTATGGGCTCGCCGAGCTCCTTGAGGTTGTGCAGATTGTCGGCAAAGTCGTAGTTTGGGTTGAACTCGGACAGCATCGTGTTGGACACTGTTCTCAACTCCGTGCCATTTTCCATGAAAAAGGCATTCCGGTGCTTCGACTGGTGCACCTTGCGCGCCTGGTAGCGGTTGTCTACACGTGGACATGCTAGATTATTTCCCATCGAAGATGTATTATTCAACAATCGTGATAATACTTACACAGCAGGAGACAGAGACAGGTGATCGCGAAGGCGAGCACGACGCTCACGCATATCATAAATATCATGATGGTCTTGTGGGTCGGGTCTTGCTCGTCGCCCAGGGCTGCAAAAGCACACGTTTAATAAATCATCTACATCGGTACAACGATGAGTCGAGTGAAATAAATAAAGTATAAACAAATGGTTGTTTTTTTCATGGAGAGAAGAATAATCAAACGGTACTCACTTAAGCATGACTTTTGGTTGCCGGCGAGGTTCCATCCCTGAGGACAGATGCAGCGCACCTCGCTGAGGTACTGGTCGAGCGCCATGCAACGGTAATCGCAGCCACAGCCCTGGATCTCCGGCACGACGAAGGCCTCGCCCGGTCCGCTGTTCTGCTTTTCCGCGTCGACGATGTACAACAGTTCCGGGTGGGCGTACGAGTAGCCCCCGGCCCCGTTGCCAGAGGGCTCGTGTCCTGTGTCGCCACCAGCGTAGCCGCCACCACCTCCGCCAGACAGGCAACCACCACCGCCTCCCCCAAAGCCCCCGTCGCCGAAGCCGTGCTGGTTGGGGCTACAACCGATCCCACCCACGCCCCCTTGGGTCAGAGCCATCCCGTAGTGCACGTCGTTCTTTCCATCGGGCGTCCCGGGCAGCCAGCCACCGCCACCTCCTACGTGGTGATTGGAAGAAAAATGACACGTATGGGTGTATATTATATCGTTGTAGCAGTTATATAGGTATGGCAAAAACAACAGATGGGCTCGATTATACCCGCGTATCCTCTGAACGAGGTGCCGTTGACGGGCTTGCGATTCCCGGTCAGTATGCCCTTGGCGTCCTGCTGATCGTCCTGGAATTGCGTCGAGCCCAGGCCACCCCCGCCACCGGCAATCAGCAGAGGTAGCTGCTCCCCGTTCTCCTTTAGCTGTGAAAAAGTTTGCATGTCAAATAATCTAGTTCATGGGATACTCGTAAATAAGGTATGTATAGTTTTTCACCGTGAAAACGTAGGTGGCGCCACCTCCGCCGCCGCCACCGTCGCTGAGCTCGGTTTTCTTGACCTCGTGAATTTTGTCGGACGTGAAGTTGGACTTCATCTTCTGGCACGTGTCGTCCTTGCGGCCTAATTTCTACGAACAGCAGCAGAGAGCAACAACAACGGTGAAAGTATAAGTATCATCGCGTATAATACAGCTATGGCGTTTGAAGAAAAATGGCCACGAACCTTTGGACACGCGTCGGTCCCAGGCTGGCCGATCATGAAGTACAACTGCTGGCCCTTGACGAGCTCGATTATACCCTTGACCATTGCACCCAGCGAGATCCCCGTGGCCAGCGCGCCGATACCACCCCGAGAACCGGTTGCGATGATTCTGTTGACATGATGGAAATTTGTGCCATACGAACAAGGAAATAAAAGCCTATGGCGTGCGAAAGACCAAAGAATTACGTGTAGTAGCCGCCACGCGGTGCAATCCAGCGCTGGATCCCCTTGGAGCGGAAGGCCGCGTCGCCCCTGTCGGCGGACAACTCGGACAACACTTCGACGTCGGTGAGGTTGTGCGCCTCGGTGCACTGCTCAGTCGTGGGCCCGAGCCTACCGGTTTGGCCGCACGCGTCGACCACTGTCACTGCAATGCATCGACAAAATTGTTTACTTGACGTATACGCACATGATATACTACGTATATACACATTGTTTGTTTTGCACGATCTTACTCGAGGCGTTGACAAAGTCCGGATGCCTGGGTGGGACGTCGTTGATCTTCTGGTCGTAGTAATTAAAGTCCCCGACAACGGATGCCGGCACACCTGTGACGAACAATCACGGGACAAGATGACCCTTTGGTATTATATGTATACCCTTTTAACCCGAAAACAGATGGCTTGCGTTGATGTATATGTATATATTTACCCAATCCAAAGCACTCGGGACTGAGGGAAAAGTCGTCGATGGCGACGAGGCCGTTCGACCCGTAACCCTTGACGGCCTCGAAGAGCAAGTAGTACTTGACCCGCGAGTGGGGCAACGAGTATGTCATGGTTTGCCACCTACCCCCGGTATTCTTGAACGACCAGAACAACTTTTCGCGCTTAGTCTGATGGGGCAGCAGCTTCACCAGCCACAGGCCAAGCGCCAGAGTGTTCATATCGACCTGGTAGTAGACGAAGCGCACCTTGCACGAGTTCACGTACGGACTGGTCGGGTCGCCGTGGTAGGCCGGCATCGGGTTGTACACCGGGCTCTTGAGCTCGGCCTCGCTACCGAGCGAGCCACCGTTCGTCATTTCCACGTAGGCGTAGGTGCCTGATTTTTTTTGTTCAACAAAAGGTATACGTTATACACGTATATATTTATGTATAAGGTATTACTTTCATGGGGTGGAGAGTCGAGTATAGTGAACGCGTTACCGGTGAGGTTGCGGTACGTGTGGTCGGCGATGGGGCCCATCCTCTGTCTGTTGGCCGGTCCCCGGCCGAGCTTCCACTTGACGTTCTCGTTGACGTTTTCCCAGCCACACCAGCCGGCCTCGAAGTTGCAGCGCGCCTCCTGGGGCAGCTTGTCTGACAAACCACGCGAGCAATACGCATGGGAAAGGGAAACAAAAACAAAAAGAAAAAAGGAATAATGGCACTCACTGCAATCGGCGGTCTCGTCCTCGGCGTCCGGGCAGTCTATCGTAAAGTCGCAGACGTGCTCGGGTTTCAGGCAGGTGCCGTCCCTGCACCTGAACATGCTGTCGGTGCACTCGCGGTGCGAAAAGGTCCGCTGCTCGGGAAAACAGTCGACCAGCCGGATGTTGTCGACGCCGATGCTCGAGTTGTCGAAGGGTAGCTTTATCTCCAACAGAATCCGAAACTCCTGCCTGTTGTCGCCCAAGTTGATTTTCATCTTTTCCCACCTGTATGGGCGCTCAAAGCGCGAATCGTTACTTTTTTTTGTCGAGCGAAATTACACGTTATAGCACGAGGGGAATCGGATGCGCGGAGTTGACAACGATATCCCGATTGAAACTCAATATTCACTCCCCCCCCGCCCCGTCATCTTCCGTTTCGGGTGTCGATACTCGAGTCGTCCGTCGATAAAATTAATTACATGTCCCCCCCGCTGCGACTTGCTCCTCCCCAGCCATCCTTGGTTATATTGAATTCTGCGCTTTGCCCCGTTACGCGTACAGTGGAGAAATACGATTTCCACCGATAAACTCGTATAGCGTCGTAAAAGTATGAAGTTCGTGTCGCTTCGGGGGAAACAGGGTGCTGGGCGTAAATTATTATATATGTCGGAGGAGGGAGGAAAAAAAAGCTCACCTGGCGGTGTTGTTGCCGGGTCGCTCGTGGGCGACGACGTACGTCTTGTTGATGCCGTTGTCGGTCTCGATAACGAGGCTTATTTTCCCGTGGGCTATCTCGATCTGGTAAACCGCCAGCTCCAGGTAGCACCGGGCTCCGGTCCGCGGTATTATCTTGGACCACAGGTGGGCCGTCGTGTTGCCCGTCAGCCACAAAAATTTACCTATGGTCGAATAACCACCGGTTACGCGCACACATCAGTCGTTCGAAACTGTACACATCGGAGGTGGCTTTGTTTCGTATAAAGCTTTACTTTAATATTACTTTCTCTCAAGGCACGTTTCAATGCTTCGATAATATAATCATGGTAGTTCTCGGGGACTTGTGACTTTTGTATTTTCGTGTACTACATATTTATAGGAACGTAAAGTATTATTCGCGTAAAACAAAAAAAATGTATGTATTGTTTATTCAAATAATTGTACGATACATTAGGCAAGAAAAACGGGCATAAACTGCATGGCGTTAAACGTTAAAAACTTAATCTAAAAGTAAACAGCAAAATGTACGGTCGCGTGAAGATGATGCGTGTCAGAAGATTGGGATGAGCTCGTTTAGCAGCTAATGGAAAAATAAACAGTTCGAAGAGGGGATGGGGAAGATCGTGCATGGGAAAAGTACTTTAGGCAACAGCTCACAATTTTGAATAATTTCGTCTTAAAATATTATTTTAGGTGACGTCGAGTCTGTTCCCGCCACCCGTGCATATAATATATACTACGTGAAAGGTAATCACGGATGCTGAAGAAACGGTGCTAAAATATCTTTTTTTTTTTTTTTTTTTTTTTTTTTTTTTTTTTTTTTTTTTTTTTTTTTTTTTTTTTTTTTTT